ATCGCAAGAAAGCGCAATTTGTCTTCCCGGCCGATTGTCTCGCAAAGTCGGCACAGTTCTTTACTTGGAAGTAACTAAACAGTCAAGCAAGTCTCCGTTTACTTCTTGCGCCGATTTGTCTCTCAAAGGCCATTACGTATAGACCCTTGAAAAAGTTACGTACATCCTTACTTTCTTCTATCTAATCGCTAATCTTCGCGAAATTATAACGTTGAGTTATAATCGTTGCAACCGTCGCAATGAAAAATGCAACGTTTTTACGTCTTTTTGCCTATTAGTATTCATCTTTCTATATGTCGGGGACGTTAACAATCGTCGTTTAAGTGAATTTCAATAACTGTCTCAACATATAATCATCATTATATCTCGTTTCTGATGGTTCACGTCATGCAAGAGAGCGAACGCATTTCGACCATTCCGATGCCAGCTATATTTCGCGCGTATATATATATATATATATATATATATATATAAACGAAGAACGTATCTCATTAAAATAACTGTCTGGTCGCACACAATAGCTGCGAATGTGCATCGTAGCAGCCAAATCAAGGGCACGATCTCGACATCGCCGGCAGCGGCAGCCGTGTGACGCGCGCTGACGGCGTACATGCGAGCACGTGAATAGCATCGGATATAAAATCATTGTTTTCGCCCGATGAACGACCGGCATCTCGTCCAAATTGTTGTTGGCCAACGCGGAAGCGTCACGTCGTAATCGCCTATAAATTCACTTTATAACCCGCCCGGCAAGAAAGCCCCGACTTTATTTCAAATGATGCGCGCGACGACCTTTGCACAACAACGTTGTCGGCGCAAACGGAGCAAACCGTTCGTGTTTTGCGATATCCCGAGCATTTGAAATTTCAAATAGCGTGTATAAAAATGATCGGGAGTCGTCGACATTGTTTTGCGCAACGAGGAAGAGAAAACCGCGGTCGAATTGACGATGAATGTGCCGGACGAATTTCAGCTGAAAGAAGCGAATTTGATTCGTAAGAGGCAGAGATTCCGTCTTCTTCAAGCAAAATACGTTCGGATCGTTTATTGTCGAGCAAATTTGATGATTCGATCGAACCCTTCGAGTAACATAATTCGTTCTTTTGCTCAACCATTGATATCTCAGCTGCTTTGAGGCGCTTTGAGCAAAACGTACACAAGTAGATACGTACACAAGAGAGGAGAGTTGACGGGAATGTACTTTAAAGCGCAGGAGGTACATTCGCGGGTGTACGTTGGCGGTTTCGTCGTAATATAGCACGGAGGAAGCGGAGATACGATAAATACGGCACATTAAGATGATGGACCGTAAACGACGGCTCATACACAGCCTGGGCTAACCCAAGTCCGCCCTGGCGAAAGAGGAGACGATCAGGGTGCGAAGCGGACAGCCAGCAGAGAGAGAGAGAGAGAGAAAGAGAGTCGCACGTTACGAGGACCTCCTCTATTGTCGCGTTTGGCCGTCGCGGATAATAAAATGCGACGCAATTCTCCCCGAAGGGACGCGAATTGCATCGAGGAATCGCGACTGTCCCAACGACCGTCTCTATTAATAATAGCTCGTATTAATAGTGACGGCGCTCTATAGATAGTAGCAGAACTATATGTCTCGTCTGCAAGCTGCTTATGAACGCATCATTAGTATACCTCGCGGGCACCATGCACGATACACCATGCGTTTGCCGGTTCGGACATATAGCGATACTGTTACAGACAAATAGTGATTTCGTTGGCCGCGACGTCGCTGAATTTGATACGGTAATTTAAGCGAGACGACGTCGTCGTTGTCGCTGCGAGAACCATCTGTCCTCTCCCGAGCTTCGTAGCGTCGAGTCGCCGGAATTATAACCGGACGACTTTTGCGCGAGAAGAATCGAGTTCCTGTCTGCACGAAGCAGCACAGAAAACCTCCCCAAGTCCCGTCCAAAGTTACGTGTGACGAAATGGGATAACGGGGCGTGCGAAACGCGGTGTTAACAACCCCCGCGGCGGCTCCGCCGTTACGCTGCACATGAGTCCCCGGACAAGATTCACGCCGACGAACTCCCGGTGCGTTTTGACAATTCGTTGATTTACGTCGGCTGAAACGCTCGGGAAACCTGTTGCTGCAACAACACGCACGCACGCACGCACGCACGCACGCACGCACGCATGCACGCATCCAGCCAGCGCCTCGTGCGCGCGACAGCGGATTTACGGTGATACGTTCGACAACTTGTGCATATATCAGCGCAACTTCCCGCGACAGGCGAAGGCGCAACGATGCATGATAAATGCACCGGTGCGAACGGGTCGCCAAAGGAGGGATATTTCTACTTTGGAGAACGGCCAACGGCCTCGTGTGCCTCGAGACCTTATGTATTGATCTTGCTCAATCTCGCTCGAACCTTCTCATCGCCCTGATTCATCTACGGCGCGCGATTATTTCACGCGAATTGGCACTTCGGAATCGTCCGTTAAGACCGACGGTCTATTTCTGGTTAAGTTTCGTCGCACAAGGGTGTCGCGACGCGAAGGATCGTCGGGATCGAAGCGCGAGCGCGATAAGTCGTCGAACGTCGAGCGTGAGTTGCAGTGGAAAAAGGGAGAGAAGCAAGGTCTGCTGTGACACGATGTACATATTGATTTTTTACGCCGCTCTTATCACTTATACAGATTTATTTCTATGTGCATTATAAATGTTCCGGCACGCAAAGAATGACGTGAGAGATTTACGTTATTTACAATGCACACGGGAGGAGGAGAGGAGGCGCACACCTGAGTTGACTGAGATAATTCCGCGAATATACCGCTCGGCTCTGACAGATTATTGAATACGTGATTCGAGCTCAAACCACTGTTAATCCGAGGGTAATGTTACGTGATGAAACACTCACATAGCTATAATTGATTTACAGCTGAGCGACTCGGTCAACCATCTACGGGATTCTCACAATATTGCGATGAATATTCATCGACGCATCTCAGGACGAAACCTATTTGCTCACCCAGTATATGTTACAGATAATACAGCTCGTCGGGTATAAATCATATCTGTGCGGTTCGAAAAGCTCGATATTAGCTTTCTTGATACAATTGCTACTTCAGGATGTGGTTCTTGGCCGAAAACATCAGGTTTCGACAAAACTTTTCAGCACTGCGCGTTAAACCGTCTCGAAGATAACCAGCAGAATTGTCTCATCATGCTGTCACTTTCCGCGGAATAGGAGAATAAATTTGTTATTTTTCAATATCGAAATAGAATATTACACATCGCTGCCTCATTCTAACTGACACGGATTACGATTACAATCTGTTAAAATTTAATTCGAATTACGCTCATTTGTACATAAAATATTATTCAAAAAGCATCGATAAGAAACGTTAATGGAGCACAGCGAGGAATACTTACAATAGAAACAAACATCTCGGAGATACGTTTATTGTCAGAGCGAATTTCTGCGACAAAATCGTTTGGCACAGCAACAGGTTGAAACTTTATTCAGCGACAGCTTCGTCGGGTAACTCGACAAAAAGAAACAATCGAGAGTAAATTGATCCGCTTAGCCATCGAAGATTGCTCATTGGTGCCAGTTAACGGGGTTGGAAAATCTCCGCTTAATAGCGTTTTCTCTTAATCATAAAAGACGATATTAAATATTTACCTGTTATATCGACAGTTTTATTCTTCATGCTTTGGCCTTTTATTTAGTTTTCGCATTTAATTACGCTCAGAAAGAAAGAGCAATTGAATCGTAACTTTTCGCAGATTAAAATCGATCACTTTGAATTCTGATGTTGATACGACAAACATATATCTAAAATGAAATATTATGAAATGTTGAAATATATATGTAAACTCTCGAGCAAGGCTTTAATTAGATTCGAGCGCGACATAATTATTCGTGACAGCTTATGTCATTACAAATAGAATCACAAACATCATGCGTCACCTCGTGATAAGAGAGTAATTACCAAAACTACTCGTGCTCTCTCGCATGCTACCCGGCAAATTATTGAGCCCTGTTCAGCTTGATCTCTGATCTGAATTCTTTTTCCGGTAATAATTAGACGCAGTTTCGTCTCTAATTGGCGGCTTCTAATTGGAGATCGATCTTTCCAAGAATGCATTCGACCGACGTTCATTCGTAGCTACGAAATTTTCGTTGAAATCAATCTGCATGCGAATAGTGAGCAACGCCGATGCAAACGTTCGCTCGAACGAATATAATACACGTGAAATAAAATTACGCACGTCTAAATATATATATATATATATATTTTTTTTTTTTTATGAGATTTATAATATTAGGAATTTATCGTTTCTTTTTTTCTCGAAATTTCATCGTACTTTGTTTTGTTTTATGTTTCGTTGATTATTTCATTGAATCTAAATTGCGAGAGAAACATGAAGAAAAGCGAGAAATACTAGATCTTGACATGCAGACATATGTCTACTGTCGTCTCTGTTTGTCGCAAATCTCAACGATTTTCCAAGCTCCCGTCGAGCTCCTTGGGAGTTCTTTAGCCGTAAGTAAGACGTAATGCGAAGGTCGAGTGACGCTCAAGGCTACGTAGGTCGGAGACTAATTGCCAACTAATTTGTCCTCATCGCGGTGCGAAGGGGAAAATATTTCTTCTGGACCTGGGGCAACGTCGTCCGCATTTTCCCCGATAATTGGAAAGAGAGCACAAATCGCAATCGGTTGAATAATTTAATTCGCTCGATCGATTGCATCGCAAATAGAACTTTTTCGGCTATTCTCAGTCGTGTGCATTTCAGTTCTTGGACTTGCGAAAATATCCCTATAAATTTGGCACAATTAGATCTCACGAAATATATCTAAAATAAAAATGCCGTTTGTCATAAACATTTTATAGAATATAGAAAAACTATATTTCACGTACTTAGTAGATTGTATCTCGCGCAACTTCATAATTATTGCACCGACACGGTGATTCCGTGCGATGCAGATATTATATTTATGTAATATCATCCTAGTTACGATAACGGATTGCAGGGCGGATTATTGGAAATCTCAGAACCGCAAGTTCTGCGACTTCTGCAAGTGCTGGATTGCCGATAATAAACCGAGTATCGACTTCCACGAGGGCGGCAGGAAACATAAGGAAAATGTCAGCAAGCGTCTCAAAGAGATACACAAGAATAGCGCGAAGCAAGCGAAACAAAACAAGAAGTTCCAGGATGACATCAAGAAGATGGAGAATGTATGTATCTTTATTGTCGATGAGTTAATTGAGAGTGTGAATGTCAATTAATAACGAAATAATGAGTTTTTTTCTTTTTTTCTTTTTCTCGTTCAGGCGGCTATGGCTGCGTACCTGAAGGATGTCGAGAATAACACGCGAGATATGACTGCTGAAAGGATCATTAAAGAGAAATTAAACAGAGTGGAGACGAAAGAGGTGAGAGCACACATAAAAGTAATCTGTTAAGTTTAATATTGATTTTCAGTTGTTACATTAATATCATCTAGCAGTATATATCTTAAATTTAACGAACTTTTCTCCGGATTTCTGCGGAGATAAGAACGACTTATATCTAGATTTATTTCACGAAAGCGAAGAGTCCGCTGATATACCATCCAAAATAACATATATATTCGGCTACATCTATGATTTTACTTTATATTTACATTTTATATTTATCAGACACCTCAAAATTATATGCCATCTGCCGCTCCAGAAACAATTCCGAGATTCAAAAATAAAACTGAACAGGTAAGCAAATGCTTGAACCGACCTCACTAATTACGATTCAACGATCGGAAAGAATAAAGGCGAGACACAGGCCTTTATTCGCAAAATCACGTGTAAAAACCATTTTGTTCTCGAACATACTAACTATTGTTGTATTACACAAGGCAGCATTTTCCAAGAAAACTAGAGCACGCCACGCGACGGTTTTATTAGTGCGAGACGACTTTCCACTGAAACTTTTCCAGTTCGCCCCGATAGTCACGGATCCTTGCGATCTGGCGACTTTGTCAAAGAGCACGCTGTCGGTTTCTCGGGTTCAGCAGGGCGGCGAGAACAGGACTCCAGGGAAGAGTAAAGCTAGCAAGACGAAGGGGAAAGGGAAGAAAACCCACGAGGACGATCGTCCGAGCGCTCCTGTCAGGAAACTCTGGTACGAAGCTCTCAGTCCCGAAGGATACACCTACTACTGGCACATCGAGACGAATGGTGCGTATCCTCCATCAAACTTGCGTTTTATTTATTTCGCTCGTCCAATTCTCAGATATCCGTTAAGCAGTTTCACCTTATTTATTTTATTTTTTCCTTGTCATAGTAGCAACGAACTTGATCGTAAATAAGAAATTGGAATGTTATTTTCACGGTTGCTCTTGCTGGAACTTAGATAATATATAGAACTTAGATAGTATATTCATATATTTATATTTTTAATTTTTGATAGCAATTATCATGTTGACTTTTTACCACAACGTCATAATGAGTCTTTTTTAATATTTTAATTTTATAGTTTTATTAAGTTTACTCCCCAAAAATCAATATATTACATTTTTATTACGACATCACTTGTTATATATTAGATCTTGATGTCGCCTCATTTATCAAATAAATTTATGGAATACATCAGAGTCGGTTTGGGAGCCTCCAGAGGAGGGTTACATGACTTTCGCGGAACAAGAAGTGGAGACAAAGGAAGAGGTACTTCAGAAGGAACTTATGAAACAATTGGACAAGGAAGAAGCAATCAAGAAGGCGGATATTATCGAAGAACAACGGGCCAATGTCGAAAGGGAGCAGATGAGAGAACTTAGGAAACGTCGGACGCAAACTACCGATGAAAATGACGATGCCAAAAGTGACGACGAGAGTGCGGGAGTAAAGAGAGAAACTGCCGAGGAGGAACGACCTTACAGGCGAGACTACAGTGTGCCCGAGAGACCACAACCTTATGGATCATGGCAAATTGTGCAGACGATGTAAATATTTGAATTTTGTATTATATTCGGCTCGCCGTGATAGATCAAGACACTTCTCATGGAGATTTATTATGCGATGACGAACCTGCAGTCGTAATTCTCGAGTACGCATGGCTGTGCATGCAAATTAATATTCGTACATATATACTTTTATGTATATTTAAGTTAACTGATGAATTATACACTTTTTAATGCATATATTTTTACATATAATTAAGTAAAATAAATTGTAGTTTTTAATATTTATATAAGTAGAAATCGCAAATCAAAACATTATTTATATTTGGAGTTCTTGTCTAATTAATTGCTTGATTAATTGCCTCATTATTTAATTAAAATACAGTGTAATATACACACAGTTTGTTTGCTCATGTGTAATATTAAATGCGTTTACTCGAAATTAAGTTTAAGTAATTTTTCACTCCACATTTAATTGTATGTTAAAAATAAACATGGTTTGATATTTCAGCGAAAAGAAGCCAGTAGACTTGCAATTACCACAGCAAAAACAAATACAGCTGCCTACCTTTGGGAAGATGGAACCACCACCTCTACAGAGAGCTTTTAAGGAAAAAATTGTTACACAGGTCAGTACCGGTGACAGTGATGACGAGGGAACATCAGTCACCTTCAAAAAACGGAAAATTGGGAACAAAAATGTGCGCAAGAGAGTGACTGACGATTGACAATAGTGAATTCATTTGTAGATGGTAAGGACAATCTTCTTTTCTTAATTTTTTATTTACTGTTGAAATATTTTTTTAATGTACAGTCGAAAAGATATTAGGAGTAATATTCGTAAACCGAAAATCGACAAAATAACACTTGTTATCCTTACATACTATCTTGGGTAAGAAATATATATAATATATATTAATACGACCATTGTAAATAAAAAATTCGATTCTATTTTATATGAATACCTGGGCCCTTAACATTAGTAATTTTTAATTAATATAGATAATACATTTTATGTACAATACTATTTGATTTAGTCCATGAGACTTCTTTTTAAGGAGAAATTCTTTTTATAAAGTCGTTACAAACGAACGCACAGTAATTCACATATTTGACTAACTCGTATTCTTAGTAAACTAAACTATAAATTATAAATTAGAAACATTTCATGCAATGCATATGTGAAATAAATTAAGAACATAAAGAGTACTAAGAAAATATTCCAAGACTACCCAAGAAATGTAAAATAAACGGTACAAGAGCGAAATGTAAAAACTTGTAAAGATTCGAAAAAAAAAATTAGCAAAACAATTCATAAGAAATTAATCCGCTAAAGAATGTACTTGTGACATTAATTGTTCTCTTCTCCGCTGCAGTATTTTTAGGTATCAACTTTAATCAGGTACATTCTGCATACAATAGTATCTTCACACACGAGCTGCGTCCGTCGAGTGCGTACCAATGATACGTTTCGTGTTTTTCTTATTCTTCGTACACTCGTTGAGCTCATTGACTATATCCTCGCGCATCCGTCCTTTCGTCTCCGGTAGCAGCATGAAGCAGAATATGAAGCTAAACGCACATGAGAACGCGAGGAGAAAAAAGCACCCGTACATGCCCAGCAAAGCAATCAATGTAGGGAATATTTTTGTTACAATGAAAGCGCTAACCCAAAGGAAAAATAATCCTATTTTTGTCGCCACACTAGTCACATTGCGGTTAAATATCTCAGCCATTACGATAATGGGTACACTACTCATTCCGCAAGAATACGCTATCATAAAAGTAGATAATGCGACTACCGGCACCCAATCGTAAACAGATACATCATATCCGAACTCTTGGAAGTAGCAGAACATGCCCATCACGCTTTGGCACAAGCACATTCCCGCGCAAGACACAAGGATCAGCAATCGTCTACCTGCGCGTTCCATGAAGAGCGAGGCCAGGCACGAACCGAAAAATTGTATGGCGCCAATAATGATAGCTGCTGTGTTCGGCAATAACGAGCTACCAGACAATTCGAAGATGGTCTCGGTATAGCTGAGCTACGAACGAACAAATCAGAAACTGATATTAGTTCATTTCTCATTTTTCATGTCTCGGAATTTGTAACTGAAATTTACAATTTAATGAGGAAAATGCATGGAAAGAGTTGTCAAACAGTTGACAATTACCATCGCGAAAATTCCGCAAAATTGTTGTCCAAGGAACAAACCAACGACAATTATTAATCCCTTTATCGTCGCTCTGTCTTTAAACAAATCTGACAACTTGACAGATTTCGCGACCATGTCATTCTGCTTCATTTCCGCTTGTAGGTACGACAATGTCCGTTCCGCTACCAGTCTATCTCCAGCTTTCAGCCACATCAAAGATCTAAGGGAGCAAATCTCACAATGTCAGCCTATAATATTTCTAAAAAACGCACGAAATTGTTTCTAGTTTTTTTTTTTTACCTGGTAGCTTCTCGTATACGATCTTGACGTATCAGGTAGACCGGCGACTCCGGCATAAAAACGAAAGTGATAAGGTACAATGCAGGCAGCACCAGATTAACTATGGCATAGGTTCTAAAGGACAACATGCCTCCCAATATATAAGCCAACAATATGCCAAAATTTATGGCGAACGCCAATATGCTGCCTAGTAGGCCACGTATGCTATCGTCCGAAATCTCTGACACATAGATCGGCACATAGAAGAATAAAATGCCACCAAATATACCACTGAGGAATTTGGATATATAAATGTATATGTGCTCGGTAGCGACGATAATCAGTAACCAGGAGATACACCATGGCAATATAATCAGATAACCGATTCGTTTTCGACTGTATTTGTCGGGTAATAGCGAAAAGACAACGGTTGTGAAGGTGCCGCCCACACACAGAATGCCATTCAACCAAGATACGCCTTCATCGGTCATAGATTCATTTCCTACGGGTGGCGACGAGCTCTGTAGTTGCGGAGCAAACGATGATTGCCATCCTATTATCACGCCATATGATATCGTCAAGATATTCACTGTGAAAACAAGGCACCTGAACAACACCAAATTCCAGAATAGTTCACAAAGATAACAATGTTTGAAATTTATTAACCGTAAAATATGTGCAGAAAACATTACTTGTTACAAATTTAGAATTTTAGAATTTTTTATTATATTGCATAATTATTGTTGCTTGTGTTTGATTGTATTGTTATACTAAGAGGAATCTTGTATTGAATGCAGAAATGCATCTCTATTAGCTTAATTTTTAGATTGTGTAATGTTTATTTTTTTATTTTTCATTAATAAACATGAAATTATAAATTCTAAAATTAAACATGACAAATAAGTTAACCGCATGCCAGTGCATGAGCAATAACTTCTTATCAAATGATAAAAATGTCGATGACTTTTTTAAATTAAAAAATTTTTAATTTTTTGAAGAATTATAGTTGCGAAAAAGGAATTTTTTTAATAATTTGAGAACAATCTGACGAGAAGAAATCGGCGAATCCCCCGAAGAGAGTGGAAATTATTATGAAGAGAAAATATTTCTTCCTTTTTTCTAACTCACCGACCAGTGTTAATAGGATTTGCCGCCACATGCTCAATTTCGATGGTGATTTCTCGCATTTCTCCATCGTACGTCGTTCTTCCACGAAAACACGATCACACTGGCGTTACGTTCCGTGATTGTTGAAGACGAGCAGACGGAATTTGGGAAACGAGATTCGCGAATAATTGAGATACGAAGATACATTAGTGCAACAAAAACTGTCTGTCTTGTACTCGGCTCGGCCGTTCAGCTCTAATGTAATTTATAATGTTCTTCAATCCCAAGGAAATTCGCGTCGGAAGGGGTACTCTTATCTCGTCAAGCTCGTACATACACGTGGATCATATATTGTTCATATATTGTTCTGCGTGTACGGTAAATACAACTGTATCATTTTATCGGGTCCATCATGGGCTTCATGTTTATCACGTGAAAAGTGCCTTACAATTGTGTAAAAAAATCCGATATATGCATTTTATAAGTAGTATATATCTGATATGTGCATTCGGTAAATATTTTGTTTTAGTTTATTCCGTTTTATTACGTCAATATATGTATTGGTTACCTATAATAATGAAAAGACACGATATTTAACTACGATACTCATATAGCACGTAATATTACGTAATATTACGTGTTATGTGGGTAGTTTAATTTTAAATTATATTGCTAGATGATAAGGTATTATTTCTAATATTTATTATAGTTTACAGTACAGTTTTATTATAGTGTGTCGTTCGAGATAATCAAACGATTACATATACAAACATACATACATATTAACAGGCTATTTACGTTAAATAGTTCTATAACTTAATTGCAATGACAAACAATTCAAATGTGAATATTTAGAAATTAACGTAAATACTAAAAAAGAAATTCAATATTTAAATATCCACCGAATGATATAGGTATTTGAAAAAGTAAATTTTTAATTGCAATTTAAATTATTTAATTTTAATTTATTTAACAGTAGTATTTATTTACCATATAGGATTAAAATAAATAAAAGGTTTAAGGTAAATCAATATTAACATCGAATTACAACTTGTTCTTTAAATCAGACAAATAAATTCAAATTATTTAGTCCTTTCGCATATTTTTCTTAATTTTCTATTTCAATTCAGACAAACTTCTAAGAAATGTCCTAAATCTGTCCAAAAGATGTAATTTCTTTTAACTTCCTTGCCGTCTAGAAAATGACTGGCGCCCATATCAATTCGTGTTTAATTTAACTAGCAATCATACTGCCACAATAAAAATGTCTTTTGTAGAGTGTTACTTTATCGCACCTTTCTCGTCATTTTAAATCATCTCGACATAGAAACGGGCATGTTTCGTTAATGATTTATTATCAACGTGTCTCTTTGGATCGCGGAAGAAAATTAAATTACGGCGCGTTACTATCGCATCTTACAAACGCTCATTAGCTGATTAAATTATTGCTCAGCAAAAGGCGAAGAATGCTAATTTCGATGCAGAGGGAGCTCATTCATTATCGCATGATAACGCGTATATCGAACGTGCTAGTATTCCCGTTATTTAAATTTCGCGCGTTGCTTTGAATCCTACAGTGATACCAATCGACTTGTAACATATAATGCATAGACGGCTCCCATAATCAAACGCGTGAAAAAATAGAAAGAAAAGGCTGCTGCATAAACACTAATCTGTTTTTCTTCTAACGACACGTGGTGGGATGAAAAAGCCTTCGTTGACTGAGGAAACAAAAGAATGGAAGAGGTAGAAAAGAATAGGAAGACGAAGAAGAGAGAGTTGAGAGTAGTACAGAAAAATATATATCACAAAAGACAGAATGGCGATACAAAGCATGCTGTCCCTGTTTAATTTTCCAAGTTTCTTCAGTCAAATGCTCAGTCCAGGTGTTAAATATTTATGCAACGATGCAATTTACTAGCTAGCTAACATGCGATATGACCTTCCTGTCTAGCCAATCGAATTGCTGAAAACGTTTGAAGAATTTATTTTCAAATTATAACGATTGAACCGCGCATCCAAACACTGCGCATTCTCCGATCGCGAAGACGCCGACGCGACGCTACGTAAATAAATTTACAACAGTTACGTAACTGAACTCGATAAATGATTTCCGTATGGTACCCAACAAGCATATTACGAACATTGTAAAATTAATTCTTTGTTTATTGACTTATCGTGATGATGTCTCATGTGAACTTTCTGAAAAGTGACGAAGATTGATATCGCCATTTTACTCGACATTTTACAAAATAATTCTTTAATTAGATCCTTGTTACGAAACCTTTCAATGTCTACTATCGGAACTGATTGGTCCAGTGGCATTTAAATACGAATTTAATTTAAATACAGAAATATTGCGCATCAATAAGCTTTATCTCGCGCGCGCGAAAAACGAATCGATAGTACCGCATCAGCTGTTTTACTTCCCCCACCAAGGATATACCCTTATGGTCACTACCTGTGTCTTCACGGCCATATTGGGCATGTACGTGTAGGAGGAACAAAGATGCTCCATGATAAATGAGACTTTCCTGAAGTTCCCGAGGTATCTATACATTATCTTGCGTTTTTTAAACAAATTGCGATCATGTTCGACAATAATCACTTGAAATACTGACATGAGTTAATTGATTATTAGTGAACGTTACGAGTTTTGTATGGTTGTCACAATATGCCTGTATATTATTTCGCATAGACAGACGTGCTTGGCTACAATACGCAGCCTGCGAATCGTAAGAAACAGACCACAAAGCATGGCATGGCACTGCAATGGCACGACGAATCAAGAGATGGTGACGAAGTTGAAAGGTAAATGACCTCTGTAGTCATTACAGACTGTAAACTGGAGGGTGGCTTAATTGTATTGATAACAGAGTGTTGAGTATTTCTTCAATTAGGGACAGTCGTTTATTTATATGGCAATTGAAGATAGATTATACACAGATGCTGGTATATTGGCAACGGACAGAGCAGAAGCTGCCATGTTGGCTGTTGACAGAGCAAAATATTGCCACGAATCAGATCCTTACCTTGATCGTCCAAGGAGGATTGGTTATAATGTAACAATCAGCGCACCGCATATGGTAAGTACGATTGTACTTTTGATCTTACACAAAGCTGACATTTATATAGATGATTATGTAGATAAATTTGTACAAATTATCTTGCTTCATCTATACTTATATAAAGTATATGCAGTAGATAAAGTATAAATATATAAATATAACACGTGTATATATAATATTACGACTATAATTGCTAATAAATCTAACTTACAAACTATTGATATAATTTTTACACATGTTCCCAAATATACATATTTACTTGCCATATATCGCACACACTGCGATGTCACACACAATCTATGTTTAACCTGTAGTAGCATATTTAACATGTGACACTCTTACTTCTTACATAGGACTTACTTTTGACAATTGCCTAGGATATATTGCTCGTAAATTATTTCTAGAAAAATACATGTATTTGTGTGTAACACAAAGATACACACGTACATGGAACAAAGAACATTTATCAGGAATATATATATTACTATTGTCTGAAATGGGGGTATCTGAGTAACCTTCTTATCACGTTTGTACGTTATTTATGTTAAACTCATATTTGGTTTTCGCCGATTGGAGATTTTCCGATGCGTCACCGACGCAGATAATCGCCATTGGGAGACAATGCACACGTTCGTTGCTCGACACGTTTAATTCACTCGATAATGATTCGATAAGTCACATAGGTTGTCGTATCTCTTGCAGCATGCGTACGCGTTGTCAATTCTCTCCGATCAACTCGTCGACGGCGCCAAGGCACTAGACGTCGGTTCGGGCTCCGGCTACCTGTCCGCCTGCATGGCGTTCATGGTGGGCTCGCGCGGACGCGTGATAGGTATCGAGCACATTCCCGAGCTCATAGAGATCTCCACTAGGAACGTGCGCGAGGATTGTCCACATTTCCTCAAGGAAGGACGCATCAGATTTGTCGGTAAGCCGGTGCCCGATTAACGTCGTCCGTTATCGCTCCTCCATAACAGACAGTCGAAGTTCCTCCTCTCGCCAATGTTGCTCCATTCCCTCACATGTATTTCGCTACGTAACATGACAATCACGGCATAAAAGAATAATACCGTTCGTCGTACGACAGAAAGAAAAAAAAAAAAGAGAACAAAGCGCTCGAAATCACCGAGTATTACTACTGCTATGCGTAGTATCCGAATAAAAGATACTCGTGATCTGTCCATGGATGGAGTTGGTATGTACGTTAACGTGAAGAGTCGAACGGAACACTGTTCACCCGACTGTGTGTCTTTGCTGTAAAGGTAAAAGATAAAGAGACTGCCGACTAACGACAGGTCATTATGAATGCGCCTAGTGGGAGACGGCAGATTGGGATACACTGATGAGGCCCCTTACAACGCTATACACGTTGGAGCAGCGGCCGACACTTTGCCGCAAGAGGTGAGCACAACAACGTACTTATTGTACCTATTGAAACAACATTGATAGTTATATTGCGAGAACTGATGCTTGAATGCTTTTAGTTACAAGCACGAGCCGTCAAGGCTCCTGATTTCTCACCGAAATTGTACATTGTACAGTGTTAAGAAGTTAAGTTAAGTGCAAACAGTCGTAGAAATTACTTTCTGCTATGCGTGAGACTCGATTTATTTCAGCTATAGCGATAAAAGTGTGCTCGTTTTTGGCGTTGGCGAATTCATCGTGAATGCAGTAAGAAATCAGGAGCGTTAGAGCTAGCTTCTTTTCGATCATTCGATGCAAGCAATAGTGCGCGCACGTAACAAGAAATTGTAACACCGTACTCGACGTGAACGACGTAATTTTTAAAGTTGATAGACCAACTAGCTCCCGGGGGTCGGCTAATCTGCCCGGTCGTGGCCATACAAGGCTTCCAAAGATTCCAAGATCTGCTGCAGGTGGATAAGAGCGCAGACGGCGCGATCACAAAGAAGAAGCTGATGCAAGTTTCCTATGTACCTCTCACGGATCCCACTACTCAGTTGCGTAACACAAATGTTTAGGTGTTTATGTCTCACATATAGACACAAAATCCGAGCAGCCAATTAAACGAATTGCGCGCGAAGTCGTCTATCAACGATAATTTCTATGCCCTAAATTACTATTTAAGGATCTCTATATTCCAAATTAGTTTTCCCTCTTTTTCTTCTTCACGTGTGCAATATTGAAATAATAAAATAGACTTCTCGTTTTTGGGATTGAATTATACTAATAAATTATATTTTACATATGCCTTACATTAATCGTTGTATCCAGTTGTTTCCAGTTATATTAAATCTAACGAATTATACGATTGTCACAATTATGTCTCATTCAACGTCTCACGCAATTCGTTCATCGCTATTTATTCTTGTAAAATCTTAAATTTTTTACAGCGAGGATGTCTCCACCAATTTATTTTACAAATACCCTAATCCCGAAGCATTAAACTCTCAATATTCATGCAAATCTTCCTACATTAAAGGAGAATTGTAATGAAGAAAATTAACAATAGGAAAATAAACTTTTTTAACAACGAGGTAGAGTATATTTTATTTAATATTTTTATTTTACATTCTGACTGCTTATATGTGTATCATTAAATTCGATGTTTCCATATTCAAAATTTGTAGGAGACTAAATCACATTCGAAGAAGAAGAACACTATAAGAGTCGAATAGTCCGTCAAATGAGACCGGAAGTTGATTATTCGCAAACCATGTCAATCGTCTAACGTAATTCCGTTAAATGTCATTATCTCAGTGTCGAATAAAGTTACGCGAATAACAAATTGGAACAACCATACGGTGTTCACCGGATCAAATGAATCTTCCTCGTCGTATCTTTTCAAATGCGATACGAGTTCGCGCGCAGAAGTTTGATGTAAAAGTCGTACGCTCGATTGGTCAACGACTCTCGATGATCTCGCAATCCGCGGATGCGATCCACTTGATGCTTTATAGACGTCACAGGTCACTAGAATGTTTCTGACCGTCTAATGGCTCACATTCGCGTCGACCTGGTGGAATTGCAACGAGATTCTCGCGAAATTGTCAGTGCTTATAGTAATAGAAAGTAATTGAGGTATATTTAGCTGCTGTACTTTAAATCTATATTAAACGGGAAAAAGAAGAGGAAGAGTAGTTCGCTGGCAGAGCGACGGTAATCGTACTACGTCGTTGTTGGGCGTTCCGATATATCTTCAAAGCGTGCGGTACATACGATAAGTTCTAGAAGAACCGAGTGCGCATCGGAAAATCGAACGGCGTGTTCGAGTAGGCACGGTAACTACCGGGTAGTCAGAAGCGACAGGTTGCCGGCAGAGCAACCTTGTATTTGTTTTCGCCAAGGAGCCGGCCGCCGCCACGACGTATCGCCTAACAGCACGGCCGCGTGCTTTCGAGTGTCTGTGCACGACACTCGTGATTCTGACACCTGCATTTCTAACACCTGTTATATCAACGCACATCATGCATGGGTATTACCATGGCAAGAACAACCAGGAACTCGTGCAACATCTCAAGCGTAAGTAACCACTGATGGCGTACAAGTTGTTATGCAATGTTGTGTCATATCACGCCCTATTGCCGGCAACACGCCGCCTATTCATCGAGAACATTTTGTTGATCTAGAATTGCGACGCAATTCGTAAGATATTTTCAGTTCGCTTTATTTGAATTCAGAGACGGATAAATCTTTTACTCCAAAATATATAAAATATTAAAATCTCCTGTATATTTAAATTTGTTTCAAATTTTTTTTATATCTACCAATGTCATTAACGGAAAGGGGTAAAATTATGAAGTAATAAATTTTTGATACAAAATGATAAAAACATATGGAAGATAATTTCAAGCTTTGCAAATTTCCTTTTGTCCTTATTTATGATATATAGTATAAATTACTAAATAAAAACTATATATTATGTGTAATATGCCATGAAGTTTTTTTTTTAGGAGGCAGGATGATTAAATCTGAAAGAGTATTTGAAGCAATGAGCTCTGTGGATAGAGGAAAATATACTCATCTCAGTCATGCTTATGTAGATTCTCCACAAGGGATTGGTTACGGTGTTACCATTAGTGCTCCTCATATGGTATAATTTTATGTTTGTGTGTATGTGTGTATACACATGTGCATATATACACATATGTATGTATTTATGTATATATTATATATACATATATTACATGTATACACATGTAAATATGTATACATGTATTATGTATATATTATTATGTATACATATGTTACATATGTATATTGATTTGTACAAATATTTATATATATATTTGTTTGTTATTTTTGTACACCAAAATATTTAAAAATTTTTTGATTGTCATAATTTTCTGGTTATACGAATTTTAATTAATAATTTACTAACATATTAAATAAATTTATATTAAAAATATAAGTCAAAGTACAAATGAAATTTTTTTCAGCATGCATATGCCTTAGAATTACTTGAAGACAAACTTCGTGATGGCGGTAGAGCACTGGATGTCGGATCTGGATCAGGATACTTAACAGCGTGTATGGCTATTATGATGGGACCAAATGGTTTGGCCATTGGAATCGATCATATTCCTGAATTGCGAGCAATGGCTGAAGAAAATATTCGCCATGATCATCCGGAACTCTTACGTGACGGACGTGTGGAATTAGTCGGTAAAATAAAACTTTACCTTGAAGTATTAATAATTTAAAGTAATTTTTAAGATTTCATCTTATCCTTGTAAGTATTATCTAGATCTTATCAATTATGGTTTTATTTTAATCTTTTCTTTGAATGTTATTGTTATTTTTCACAAAATATAAATTTAATTGAAACTATTTAATCAACTATATCTATATTTTCAGTTGGCGATGGAAGATTGGGTTATCCCGATCGTGGACCGTATGATGCCATACACGTAGGAGCAGCCGCTAAAGAAATGCCACGTGCGGTGAGAAAAAAATTTTTGATTTGAAATTCTATTCTTGAATACAATAAAATAATTAACTGTAACATACAATAAAATAAGTATTAACTACAGCAATACTGTCTGGTTTTTTACAGTTAATAAATCAATTAGCACCCGGCGGGCGTTTAATATTGCCGATGGGACCTGAAAACTCTGATCAAGTTTTGGTACAAGTCGACAAAACCATGGACGGCCAAATCAAACGACGATCTTTGATGAGTGTGGTCTTCGTGCCGTTGACTGATAAGGAAAGACAATATCGTCGATCATGAGATACGTGTTTGCTGCAATAAGTCAGCTTATTGTGTTTACTTGTTTGTTGTGTATTGTGATGAGTATTATTTTATTTTTCTGACATATGTAAAAGCAGCTCTACTAATAGTCGTGTAAAAGTATATATTAGAAAAGAGAAAAAAAGATAATTACGTATATTAATCTATACTATATATCTCAAATATATATAAACTACATAAACATATATAGAAGTTCCCATTGATGAAAATGGTAAAAGCAAATTCAAATTCAGCATGGAAATATTTAGATATTGACTTTCTCATCTTTACGATACTATGATTTTTTGTTTATTATAAAGATAAGAAAGATTACTGTGTTGTGATTTTTGCTTGCGAAAAATCTAACTTTGTATCTAAATATATACTGCTATCTTTTTTAATCGGTTAAATTTTCTAGTCACTTTTAACTCTAAAGCATATCTATATGAATACAAAACTAAAATAAATTTAAGATGAAATTGCTATGATGTAGATTATAATATTGATATTAAATGTACCGCATGCCTAATTTACTGAAGCTTAAGCGGAATTTTTTTTTATAGCTATAAACAAAAGGAGTAGTTATATCCATTTTAATTTCATATATCATATCTAATATATCTTACCTTGATTGTGTAGTTCATTATTTATCTAGTTTATAATAATCTCGCATTAGTTTATATTAATCTCCTTCAAAATCTTTAAATTAAATATAAAAAAAGTTGCATAATTAAATATTTATTGACAAGGTACGTGAAATTGTTTACATATTTATACAAGGAATATATTTCTCTCTTTATATGCAATACTCATCATATATATATCTTTTTTTGTTGAATGTACTGATTTATATTTCTTAGATTATATAAGTGTTATATTAAAAAATATGCGTGTAACACAAGTGATTAGAATTACACAATTATTATAAACAGTTTATATATTTATGTTTCTTTTGTATCATATGTACATGTTAAATACTTATTTGTAACCATACAATTTGTTCTAGATTGTACAAATACATTGTATTTATATATAAATATATTAAATCGGAATGTGACTTATCCAATATCAGGAATGTATATTCTAACATTCGTAATATTTCGTTTTCGATCAATTATTATGTCATCTTGCGCACGTACATAAAATCAAGTAGAATAATAAAAGTAAAACATAATTCACAATACCATATAGTCATTAATATTAAATCGGAGCTACTTAACCAGACGTAAACTTTTACCTCATTATATAATCATAAAAAAGTGCTTTATAACAAGTTATCTAATTAAAAAAAACTCAACGTAGATATTCAAAAATTAATTAAAAATTATAAAATATTAATGGTGATCGAAATAAAAGGCTTTAGGCAAATACAATTAATTAAGTTTGAAAGGGCCAATGAAAGATACTGAATTTTCCAACTAGACTGTGTTTTAATTAAAAAAAAATAAATAAAAAGAAATATGAAATATTTCCATATCATAATGTCGATACATAATTATTATATATTATAGTTGTAATATCATAGATTACTGATAATCTGTGGTCACAAGTGTGACACATATATATATATATATATATATTTATTCATGTCGTGCATTTTATCTTAATCGACACTTACTTTGTACTTATAACACAGATTCAATAGATTTTCTGATAAAATATCAAATCTGATAAAATATGAGGATCACCACTAATAATTTTACATTTATCTCGTAGCGGTACGGAAAAATGAATAAAAACTTTCATTAATATCTTAACGCGATCAAGAACGATCAAATTGATTGTTATTATTATTATTATTATATTATAGAAGCTCGTGATCAATGTGCTGCCTCATAATTTTTTACATCTGATTTCAGGTGTAAAAGGCAGTGAGATCATCATTATTTTTATATTTACATTTTTCCTCAATCGTAAAGTATTAGAGAGTCTTCACCATGTATAAGCTAAGCGCAGCACCGGATGCTAATCCTATACCTAAGAAAGCACCCATCATTGCAGACGCTATTTCCTTCTCTTGGCTGTCCACGACTCTGCGAAATCATCATATGTAAATATAGAGAATATCTTACGGTTATGACCGATTTTTACATTTAAGATTAAAGATACTTACGTGGGTACGAGAATGAATGTTAAGTTACACAGATAACCATTGGTCAGTGCAAATATAATGGTTATCAGAACATAATACAAATCGTTATGAATATAAACGGGTAAATGATGCCTCGGTTGTGCGTTGCAAAACATCAACGCGGGTATAAAAACAGTTCTAAGGACGCTCAAGAATATCACGAGCCATGGTTTGCTTCTTGGCTGCAACGATACGAAAATTTGTGTAAACATTGTATAAATATATAGTATTAATCTTGAAAATAAAGCACAGATTCTCACCCACTGAAGAATCCCGGATAGTACTCTTCCAACATAATCGCCCGTACTGAAGATGAGGTACGTGACCACAGGTACGAAGTATACGTCTAAAACAACATTAATTAAATAAATTATATTTTAAGTGTCCACAAATTATTCGAAATCATCAAAATGTATTGTGACCCACCATTCCACACGTGGCCTTGACCTTTGTATTGGCTCTCTACCAACACAGTGACTGCCGGATACACAGCCAGCGATATGAAGAATACTAGAAATATGCTAATGCCGTAATGCCAGATTCTCTTAATAATCCGCGTGTAAGACACACTTGGACCGGCTGAGAAGCCGATCTCCTCACTTGTCGAGTAATCGGATTCCAAACGATCAGGTACTTTTTCCGCCATGTGATATTTGAAAAAGGGCTGCATGAGAGACGCGATTTCCATTAAATCTTCAATTCTCAGAAACTCAATCCGCGATATTGTTTTACAAAAGTTACGACAATCTTGAAATTGATGTGCTTCATCACATCACATGGAATTCTGTTCCAATTCGAAACAGATTGCGCATAGGCATGATATATCATGATACACATATAATGTATGTATTCATTATCGTAAGTAACTTATCATACATTATAAAACATCTGTGTAGTATGCGTCATTTTAATAGAACAAGGACTGTTACTGCTATCTCATTACATGTGTCAGCGGATGTGTTCGGCATTGAGATGCCATAAAATAAATTCTAAAAAGAGATACTTGATGTATTTCTGAAGAAAGTGATTTACCGATCTCTCCAACATGATATACGCAATCAGCGATAATAGTAGCATGGTATCTCCGATAATGAAGTATACCAAACCAGAAAGTACAGGGCTGGCTCCTATCCATAGCGAGCATACTTCCACCAGGGCTGTGAATATTCCACCGAGCGCTTGTCCACCCGACATTGCGGTTATATATTTTGGTGAAAATTTGCCTATTATACCCATTAGACTTCCTCCAAAAATTGCGCTTGCAGCTGGAATCGCAAATCGTTATTTTCTGGCAATGTACAATTAAACATTACTGTCTTTGTAAGAAATTTAATTAGCATATATACCATTCACGAGTGCAACCGTCGTTAAAGTAACAACTAGGAACATATCTTGCCCTAAACACAAATTAATTATTAATTTATCTTTGAAATGAGGAAAGAGATAATTTGAGGTATGAATATATAGACAATATTATCAATGAACGACTCACACTTATCTGTATTTACTTCCACAAATGTAGTCGTCAAGATGAACAGTAGCAATATTGTACATTGGGAACCTACCATTCTTATTGTTAGAGAGACCCTAAAATTAAAACTTGGTTTTATTAAACTATTATCTTTCCCAGTATAAGGTAGTTTAGACTTTTACAAATAACTAGTTTAAAAAAATGTTAATTATGTATTTATTTAAACTATAGAAGATGATAATGTTTGAGTAGTAATTTCTTTTTCAGAATCAAGGGGGAACCAAGGAAAAACAGTGATCTTGAATTCTAACACTCACCTGTTGCTAATAAATGCATTTACTATCAAGAAAAGAGTATTTGGCAATGCACTGGCTACACTTAAGTAAGAAGTAAAACTAGCTTGAAGATCTGTCTTTTGTGCGAGATTTTCTACATGAGTAGTGGTAAGATTTGTTGAATTATTAATTTCTCTAAACTTATACATCCAGTACTGAAAAAAAAAATAAGTAAAATACAATATTTCTGGTCAATGTTAGGAGAAATAAAAAATTGCCGCTTACATCATCAGCAGTAATAAAAAAACTCCATGGGATTAATGTATTTACACCAAGTAAGTAGAATACAATATAGGCAAGATTGTATCTGTAATGTACAAATAAAAGACATATAAATAAACAAGAATATAAAATATTGATATATGGTTTTCAAATCAAATCCTAATGCTAGAGCATACTTGTCATGTGGCTCATATGGTTTTAAAAATGGTTTCTCATCTGAGATCACAGTGTGAGGATCATCTACCTCTGTCTCTAAATCACCTTCAAATTCGCTATCAGATGTACCCCACAATAAAGGTCTTCTATTGATGGAGTATGACATGATTGCTTCCTGGTGAGCAATAAACTACAATATATCACATAGCAAATGCAAAGGTACAAAAATAAAAAAGGATTTATATGTTTCTATGTGAATGCTGTCAGTAATGCATAGTTTCTATAAAAGAATAAATAAAAATAATGGTGTATATGTTTTGCTAATAAAAATTAACACACATTTTAATCGATGAGATTATCCTAGTTATAAATCACCGAATAAATAAGGAATAACAATATAAGGAAAAAGTACTTACGGATTCGCGCGTTACGCCACGTACAATGATTCAACTTACTGACGTCTTTGGCTGGCACGAAGAGGAAATTCACGAAGAATTACATGTGATCATCGAAAGCAACGATCGATATATTTCAAAACATCCTAAGCACGATCACAAACGGATCTGATAGATATGATATCATGTCCGAGTTAGGTAATTATCGATATTTGGAAAATATGCAAAGGACACAACTATTATGTAGCATTCTTCGGTTTGGTCTTCGGAGAATAGTTAGTGTGACCTCGTGTCTATCAAGTTTCTCGCGTCTATGTGCTGGCATTCTTGTTTCATACACCTCACCTCTTACTTCTTAAAACAGGAACAGCGCGTCTGTAATCGCTTTTGTGACGCGCACGTCGATCAGCTGATGCACTCTTTGACGTTTCCTTTTTCTTTCTCTCTTTTATACCGAACACATACTTGGTCTGTTCTTTGTAACTGCACTGCTGAACTGGTGCAATAAGCTAGAATGAGAAAACCTATATTTATCTCACTTTAACTTATTGCACCAGTTCAACAGTGCAGCTACAAAGAACAGACCAGCTGTCACTTGTGTGGTTCTGTTCCTTTTAACTGCACTTCTGAACTAGTGCAATAAATTAAAATGAGACAACTATGTTTCTTCTCACTCTAACTTATTGTTCAGCAGTGCAGCTGAAAAGAACAGACCATAGAGATTAGGTGCGCTATTCTGCACTCGTGTAGATCGAACCATTCCATTGCGTCCGACTGTACATACATATATACAAGAGTTATAATTTTAATAAAGTTCACTGATAGAATTTGATAATAAAGATTGGATTTAAAGAAATTACAACATAGATAATTATTAAATATCGAAAATATCGATAAGATAATCGATCCTTGGATAAAATGAAGAATCGAACATCGATTCATCGCTCATATATCGTTTTAAACCTCGACCCGGGTAAAGCCGTACGGCCAACATTGAGAGAGAGAGAGAGAGTAAAGCCTCTCATGTCCTCAGTCGATTCTTCGTCTGTTGGTAACGTCAGTTGCGCAACAAGATGCCCTTTTATCAATTTAATCCATTCACTGGTGGATTAAAGTCGTCTACCAGTTTTCAACCGCTCTATCCTCTTGTAAGTGAAACATACATTATAATTGTTGTAATTGATTGCACAAGAAAGTACAAGTATCATGTCAAATACGGAGATACATTTCTAACCGAGTCAATAGGTTCCACCGATCAATAGGTTCTACAGACTGGTTTTGTATTTTATTTTATAACAGCATCTTTAAACGTCGAATTGTTTTCATGGGACACGTTTCATTGTTTCTTCTTCCTAAACTGTGTTCGGAGCCAAAACTGATTGTTGCTAGTCTATCATGAAGTCTGTGATATATATATATATATATATATGTATATATATAAATATACAAAGAAAAGCCTTATATAAAATAACTATCTAGGCATTATAAACTATGGACATGCTTTTATATTCATGTAACAGTTTTACATTTGATCTTGCACTTACGCAATGTTCTATAACATTAATTAGTCCAATGAATAAGTAATAATAATTATATAATCAGTATCGTGCTGGAGTTTATGGTTCATTTTCCATTGATATTCTTTTAGTTTTGATATAATATGAAAAATAATTGTTATTCTATAGGCTTAATATACATGAATGTTTCTGTTGAGTAAAATTTTTGATATTGTTTCAGTCTCCTCTTCCTTTACAGAAGACAGAACGAGTAATGATATACGATACCATCAAGACTAAGCCAGTGGCTGTTACAGCGAAAGCTGGCTACTGCACCGACAAACCACGTACTTTAGATCCAAAAATGTGGACAAAATTCAAGCATTTCCAGGCAAGTATAATATATTATAATTAATTGAAGTACTAATTATGAAATCGTTAACAATTTTTAATTTTCGTAGGCTCATATTGATAAGCCAGTTTACCTACTGGGTGGCAAAAAAGATAAGTTATTGTTTGGATTTACTGTTTTATACGTTGCTGTTTGTACAGCACAATCAGCTGTATTTTTGATTAAAGAGGGTATACTGGGATCTTAATAAGAACATTTTAGATAATGGATATTATAGTCATTATAGTTATGTGCATTGACATTAAAAGTGTTAATGTTGAAAACTAATATGATAAATTATATTAAAATAAAAATGTCATGTGCTTTAATTAATGACCTGTTAGTATTTAGTTTCATATTTTGTGTTCTTTTGTACACTAGATTTAATATTGGTTTCAAAACTTTCGGTTGCAATTCAGAATGCAATTAATGATCTAATAAGAACTTGTTTCTAAAAAATTGCTAAAAATTAAATTTTCTTATTTGACATCTATTGTTTCAAATTGCATCCAAAGTGTTTAAATCAATTTAAAATCCAGTATTTTGTATTTACTCTTAGAATATAGAACTTAAATTTTATCTTTCTAAATTTTATCAACCTTATAGTTTGATTTATGAGACTTGGTAAGACATATATATTAGATATACATCAGAGCATCATTTACTTTATTGATATTTAAAATACAAAGAATATAAATATTAGTTTATTTCAATTTCTTCTTTGGACGAATGTTGTTTGTATGTCCACACTTTTTCTTTCGACAATTGGTTGCACGTGGATGAAGACGAGCATAACATTTACGGCAGATCATTTTGTCACAGTTGTATTTTTGTAAGTATACGCAACGTTGGTTCAATTACACCTCCTCGAAGACGAAGCACGAGGTGAAGAGTGGATTCTATTAAAAAATCATTAGCATATTGCAATTTATCTTTCATATTTATTTTACGACAGGTTTCAATTATGACCAATTGTATTATCTTATACAAGTTTCAATGTCGTATATATTCGTACCTTTTTGGATGTTATAGTCAGAAAGAGTACGTCCATCTTCCAATTGTTTGCCAGCAAAAATAAGTCGTTGCTGATCAGGTGGAATTCCTTCCTTATCTTGAATTTTAGCCTTCACATTTTCAATGGAGTCAGAGGCTTCTACTTCGAGGGTTATAGTCTTACCCGTGAGAGTCTTCACAAAAATCTGCATAATGGTTTACTGCAACAAATCAAAGATCATAAGAATATATTTATGGAAAGATAATTATGAATGATAAAAAGGGTAACCTTTCCTAATGTTTCCTGTGTTTATTTTAAAATGCTATCGAGATTATATAATCGAGATTTGCGATTTGCAATTTCTATGGAAAATATTACGAAAGAAAATTAATGTGTTATTGCGAGAATACTAAAAATTTAAAGCAATTCAGGACATTGTAATATCACACACAGCAATGACATGTATGCATGTGATAATAACATATTGCGTTGCATTTGTTTCTCGCGTCATTTTTTAAAAAAAACTTCGGAACGAGTAATAGCTATGCATCTAAAATCTTGATACAGTTTCATAATAAAAGAGAATAAAATGAAAATAAAAAAACTCATTTAAAGGCAAATATTTAATAGTTTTGTCATGCTCACACTATTCTATGTATATGTGCCGAATGTTTCCGATTTAATATCAATACTTGATCCAACCTAAAAATTCAATTATATTTTCGTCGATCTTTCACCGCGCGTGAACATGCTTGCGCGACATCTTGTGTGAGATACATGTAAACAGCGAGTGTGAATAGAGAATTATAAGAACTGTTCTCATTAGTTGCACTATTTGAACTTTTTTTCAAATCAATATAATAGAAAGTTGGCAGTACGCGCGCTCTATATTGACTTTTCATACTTCGAGACCAATCGTCACTATATGTGTAAACGTCCATTTTGAAAGGGGATAACGATGAGAAGGTACAGATTCGAGAAGCTGCTTCGTATTTTTGCGATCTCAACTCGTAGGTGAGTTTTGCACACGAATCGTTGCCTATAGCGTCAAAAACAAGTCTCATGCGTTTGCTGTGATAAAGTATCGTTAAATATTCGTCGAAAGTAATCTCGCAGAACAGCACGTCGAGAACGCCAAATAGGCTAAATTGCGTATTCGCCATACAATGGCGGTTGAAAGTTTAAACGATCGCATTTTACGTCTTCGAACCGCTAAGGCAGAGCGTCGCTTGCGAAATATCGTCAGGAGTAAGTTTCATGCGTTTATCGTGACAAAATATCGTCCAGCAACCGTCGAAAGCAAACACCTCTGAAATAGGTCGTCGAAAGAGCCGACACAGTGTTGTCGGTCGTTCGTCGTCTTACGGTAATTCCGCGTTCATTCGAATTGCTTTGTAGCGTTCAAACCTTCGTCATGACGAGCTCGTTGTTTTTCATGTTTTCGATTCGCCGATGAAAAACTCGGTAGATATTGACAGCAGTAGTGCAATAGATTATATATTTTCACGTATTTCAAATTGTATGTCAGTTTTTAATACGATATTATAGGTTAATTATTTAGATACTTATGCCGGTTCAGTCGGTAATGTCCATATATACATACACACACATACATATACTTTCTCCTGAACTTCAAAATGATGATATTTTAATTAAGTCCGATGGTATTCTTCTCATCATATAAATAATTTAGAGTACTGAAGAAGTAATGTTATTTTTTTATATTTCATTTTTGTTGTATTTTCTATAGAGAAAGATTATCGATCAAGGAATTACGAAGCGGTGCATCAAACTCTTGATCAAAGGATCGCGATTGTTAGATCTCACGTTCGCGTATCTCACGACGATACGTTCTTAATTTCGCGTTAGCGAGTGTAGATATGTACGTGCATTTGTATGCGTGCGTGCGCACGTATGCGGCTTTCCAGGCAAGATGAGGGTCCCGCGCTTCGGACCCGAGCGATATGCAAATTTCAGTAGTAACCCTTAAACTTTACGTCCTGACCTAGATGCTCACCTGTCTGAGTAGGAGGGAGGAGAGGGGAATAGGGAGATGTCTCGCGATTATGTACGATTTACTACGTCGCCGAGGTTTAATTGCAAGCGCAAAATCTCGCGATATTGCCAAGACAGAGCAAAACGTGTCGTTAACAGTGAATGGCACTCGTTTTCCATGCTTCTGTTTCTCCATAAGCAATTACCGCTGCAAGAAATCGATGAATTAAAAAAAATAGATGGAAATTTACGTCGTCAAAATTAGAAAGTTTTAATCTTGATCTAAATAGCACGAGCCAATTTCTTTCTACTTTGATTTTTGTGCTCAAACTCGAAGAAATACACATAAATATCTTACTGAGAGATGTATCGATATCACTTATGTCACAAGTGGAATGAACAAAAACAAATTCCAAGACTGTTCAGAAACTGTCGAAGGTTGAGAAAATCATCGATATGAAAAGCCAGATGAAAAGCTCGATTTTACGAATTTCCAATTACCTATTGGCTTCTTTTTAATTCACTGATGTCTCGTGGCGCGACCATTTCTCCATTTTCTTCCACTCGTATGCATCCGCCGGATGCATTCCATAAACTCGAATGAGTTTTGCGATGCTTCGCCAGAGGAACCGGGTGCTTTACGACGCTCTGTCTCCTCGAACGTTTCGTTGGATCGCGCCTGCTCCTTATATCATCTAAGTCATCGCGTTCCGCGTTTCACGCCAGAGAACGGATAAAGGTTGAATGCGCGAGTGGGGCTCCGACGAAAATGCGAAAAATGCCCCATAAATTTCGCCGTACAATGGAGGCCCATGAAACCGTTGACGGCTGGCGATCAATCCACCGTGCTCGCGTCTTAACGGTACGCGACACTTGTTGGCGCGTAACTCATGCTTTTATTGCCGATCGACAGATTACACACGAGCATCATTTCTGTCATTTATACTTTCCATTAATTTTCCCCTCGTCTTGATTATTTCCGGCGACACGCACCCAACTCGAGCGAACTGTTAATCGGAGTGGAATCTCGAAGAAATTGACGAACAGTAAAATTCTGTTTTTTTTTCGAGAGAGATTCGAAGAGTACGATATCGAACAAAACAAATTATGCAAAAGAACATTATTATATTAAACATATATATAATACCCGAATCAATGATATATAGTGAGATCCCTCCCTAACAGAAATTTATTACTGCCTGTAATAAAGTGACCAGTGATAATTTTATTATTTATTATTCGTACGAATAATTTCATTACTCATACGAGTAATAAAATTACTTATTATCATTGGCCAATTTATCACAGCCAATAATAAATTTCTGTTAGGGATGTTAACTGGAACGCGAGATAGATATTTTATAATAGGATAATGAAAAGAAGAAATGATGGGAAGGGTTTCATTAGACGTTGCGTTGTTCTTAATCTGCGACTTGCAGCAATATCATTTGAGTAATATTAGCGGGACGGTGCAAATTAAAACAACTGATAAAAGCAAACGGTTTGAATATCCGAAACATATCCCGTATATTTACGTAACAAGTTATTTAATAGCAGCCGCGTAATGGGATCCGCAGCTTCTTACTACCGAATGCAAACACGGTGCCGTGCTCGTTGTGTAAATAAGCTATGCTTACCGACGAGATTGCCGGCCAGGTACGTATCACCAATCATTTGCCTAGGCTAATCAACGTGCGCCGCTCTTGTGATGTGGCTTAAATTAGAGGACGGCGAGCTCGGATCGCCGTGGCTTCGGGTTGCATTTGAATTGTGTATGAGTAAGCCTGGATTAATGGTTAACCCGACACGTGTAGCTGGCACGTTCATTTCAGTTTGACCCGTGATAAACTTTGCATAATACACGCGGTCCATCTCGCGGCATCGCGCGCATATAATCGTTATCATCTGATCTAAAAGGTCCAATTATAATTAACGTTCGCGTTATAACGTTCCCTCGCATACGCGAACGACAGAGGCTTATATTTACGAGGCTGTCATGCATACACGTGTATATACACGAAGATGCCGTATCTTCATCACGATATTCGCATATCCGTGAGATCGTAAGTCGCGGCGCTTAAAGAAGGAGTGGAAAGTTGAAGTTACCGAGTCTCATCGATCGAGTTTCGTCCCTTTCTCGCGACATTTCCGGCCGTATACACGCGTGCTACGTTCGCTTGATAATAAATTCGCGCCTAATCTTCCCGGCGGAGATTATCGGAAGACACGTCGCTCTAAATCGCTGTAACTCCCGTATGGACGGTAATGCGATCGAATCGCATAATGTTCATGACGCACA